AGAAATAGAGTCAGAAGGAAAAAGCTCATTGATTATGTGCTGGTAGGTCTCAGTGATAGACTGGGTGTAGTCAGTGTTGTTGATCTGAATGGATGGAGGGACTTCAAGCCTTTTCCCTTTCTTCGCAGCCACATAAAAGGGAGTGGACCAAGGGTTGTCATTACCCACAGTTGTGCAGAACTGTCTCCAGACCTGCGACCTAGCCTTGTTAATAGAGGTCTTGTACTCCCTGAGAAGGGTTGTGTACCTCATACGTAACTCTTGTTTTCTGCCTGGGTCTGTTTCCTTTCGCAGCTTCTTTTTAGTTTTCCTGAGGGTATTCCGTTGATTGTTAAGGTCCATGTTCCACCATGGGGCGGAACGCTTGACAGTCTTAACTACCGTTGCTTGGTGGTAAGCCTTGTGGATGGTGTTAGTTAGACTGTTCACAACACTGTCGACTTCAGAAGGTAGAGTAATGTGAGCGATGTCACTGGGATTCCAGTTAAGTTGAACAAGTTGGAAGTAGAGGTCCCAGTTGGTGCTCTGTGTTATGCAGAATTTTGGTATTGGAGTAGACTGATCAATTATTGTCTCAATGAAGCTATGATCACTGGTGGAGTAGATACTAAGGGTACTGGAGAGCTTGTTGGTAAGTTTCCTTGAGCCCATACAGATGTCGATTCAACTTTTTCCGTTCGTAGAGGAGAAAGTTGGGAGAGGACTAGTGTTGAGGGAGGCCAGATGGTGTTGCGCCATAACATGGCGGAGACAAGCAAATGATAGGCAAACATGACACAAATGGAGGAAAATTATGTAAGGGAGGCTACACCATAATTTGAAATAGTAGAATAAGCTGATGTAATAACATATAATATTGTGTAGGGATGATAAATCAAAAATACAACTGCTTATTTCAGAAAACCAAAACTATTTTTATTAAATGTTTTTAGGTCTCTCATCAGGCCATATTCAGTATATATGTACTGTAAATTGGATTTGGAACAGATTTTATTAACTTTTCCATATCCAATTTATATATATGCCTAAGATGGTTTGAATCAAGTCTGGAAAACGTTTCATGATAAATATTTTAGCAGCTTCCTTAATTAAACAAAGCATTGGTTTTCTTTTATGTTTGATTTATTATCAGGGAGCCAACTTTTTCACACTTCCATGCTTAGTAAAGATATATCATCATTAAAACCACAGATTTAATACAATACTGTATATCAGATACTGTATACATATGTACAGTATTGTATTAAATTTAATAATTTTGATTAATGCAAACATAGATTAATTAATAGGTTATTAACTTGTGAGGCAAACTGTCAAGATATTATCAAGGAAAACTGCTTAGAATCTATCTAATAAAAATAACAATGTAACTGTAATTCTATTACAAAATGATTTTTGAGGGAATAGAGAAAGACACCTTGATATTCCAGCAAATTGACTATTTAAATTTTGTTATATTCTATATCTTGGATATGTGATCTGAAGATGACCATTAAATTAATTAATTAATTAAATGATGGTTAAAAATGTTTGTTCAATTAAACTAAATAAAGTGAATTTGTTGGGATTGGGAATATTAAGGTGTGCTTCTCTATTGAATTCTTTGTTTCTATTTTGTTGTATATAGATAAATAGAAATATTTTTGATGAAAATACTATTGAATAATAGCAATTTTTCCAAGTAAAACATTATTTGATTAGGAAAATTTAAAAGTTAGAAATCTTAACATTGTAACTATGTTTAGTCTTTTTTTAATATCATGTTCAAAATCTAGTATTCAGATGCTTAGTAATGCTTTCAAAACATTACTTAAGTCATGTTCTCTTGCTTAATTTTTTTACTTATTATTAAAAAGATACATGTGCAGATGTTGTGTATTACTATGGTGAAGTAGCTTATTATTCCTTAATAATTATAAAATAAAAAAATAAGTTTTTATACTGTTATATTATTAAATTTGAAGAGTTATTTATTTTATAATGCATATTCAATGGAATAAATTGTTTTAATACAGATATTGATTTTTATTTTATAACAAAATAATTTTAGTAAAGAATTGAAATTTTTAAAACAAAGTACTTATTCATTAAAATAAATAAATATTATTATATTGAAATGCATGATGGAATTCATGAAGGTTATATGTCTAATGCAGTAACGTAATGTAAATATCAAAATATGATTTTTTAGAAAATGAAAGTATTTTATTTTTTTAATGAATTGTTAAACCAAAAGAATAAGCAACAATTATAATTATTTTCACCAAATGTTGCATAAAATACATTCCTTATCTATGAAATTATGAAATGTATAAGGTGGACTAATGAGATAATAGAATCAAGATAACAAATTATGGATAAGACAATGCTGTGGAACTTTGTTAATTCGATGTACTTGGGACCAAAAAATTTTGTATTTTGAGTTAAAAAGTTTCAAATTATTCAGGTATTGACTCCCTCCCAAAAGGAGTTGTAAATTTTCACTGTCGTTGTTGTGCAGCAGAATTCAATATTTGGTGTATAAACACAGTAGGTCTGTGATCATACTTCGTACTAATTAATTTGTGGCTTAAATTTCAAACAGAGTAAAGAAAAATAAACAAAAACATTTATCGAACATAGTTTCATACAATAGGAAGCCCATAGCTCTAGCAATTTTTCTGGAACTCCTGAGAAAAAAGAAAAGCAAAATACCAAAGAAAATTTTACGCAATTATTACATAATAAATATTTGCATATACTAAGTATGATAAAAACACACAAGACTATAATAGGCTATATGTAAAGAGGAATCAATTGTGATTGTTACATAATCTATGCTTTATTGCTTATTTACAAAAAAAGTCATCTAATGCAAATTACCACCTTACTCTTAACACATTTGATGCAAATGAAGTCACTGAGATGTTCAATTGATGCAAGTATGTCATCCGTAGCATTAAAGTCCAATTCACTGCCAAAAGCTTGTGAAGAACTTCCTAATCATTTTGATCAGCCTCTGCTTGCCACAACTTCCAAATCTCCATTATCCTGATTCTGTTGGTTTTGTTCACAAAAGCCAGCCTTATCAAAACAATTTCATATTTTGTTTACTGGAACATTATTTGTAACAGAACTATATATAAATTTTACAGTTTTGTTTCAAATAAAATAACTTTTATAAAAATATGATTGAAAAAAAATTTAAATGTATGATATACTTAAACTCAAAAATTAAAAATTGATTAATGTAAATAGTAACTTCTTCTTGGAAAGCTGATGCTAAACTAAAATAATTTAAAAACATTTTAAAAAGAATTATATATATATATATATATCTAATATATATGTAAAATACTAAAAAGAAGAGATATACAGTAGACCCCCTATAACGCGGGTTCCTATAATGGAGATTCCTATAACGTGGTGATAAAATTGCGACAGTATTCGTATAAAGACGCTAAAAGGGACTCGTAAAACGTCCACGCTGACTCATGTCGCGACGGGATTGGCCGAACGTGGACCAATAGTAGACGAGCAGCCAAACTACTTACACGCTACAGAGAGTTTAGGTGAGTAAGTTGAGTTTACTATCGTCTGTACAGTATGTAAATTAGGTACTGTAAGTCTAATACAGCACTGTAATTTTATACATTTCTTGTGAAAAAACATTTCTTATTCAATGGCCATAAAAATTATTTTTATTAATGATGTCTCCAAAGTTCAACGAATTTTTCACAGAAAAATAACTTATCAGAAATCGCGGCCGCCATTTGTGCACCGCTCCGCAACGAAAACAAGCTTAAGCAATGGCGTGGTCGAACGGTGCACATTTGGTAAGTAATCCTACAATTTTTTGTTTATAGCACAGTTTATACAGATTATTCCCAAAAAATTATATGTGTTTTGGAAATGTTGAATGAAATTAGTCTAGAATTGATTAATTTTATGGAAGAAAACCTTTCAAACAGCTGTAGTTCGTAAACTTCACACGTGTCGGGCTGTGATTGGCTCATGTATTTAAGGATTCCTACAACGTGAAATTCATATAACGTGGAACGTATCTACGCATTATAGGGGGTCTACTGTATACATCATGTGTGTATATTATATATTGATATAATATGTAGTATAGTATTTAGCATCAGCTTTCCACGTAGAAGTTACTATTTAAACTCAAAAAGAAAGTATGAAATTAACAGCTACCATTAGGATTATTTAGATTTGAAATTTTAAAACGTAATATAAATTCAAAACTTGCTATTGTGCATAAAGTATCAAATCAGGAAAAATTTTATTAGTATAAAAATCAACCTGTAATACAGAGATGGTAAATTCTTGCCTTGTATGATTTCAAGGTACTCACATTGAATGTTTAGAAAGTATTAGGATTTTGTAGATTTTAAAACTTTTCATATTTTTTATATGTTAATATAGTATGAAAGAAAGTCATAAAGCTAGTGTGAAAGTTTTAAAAGCTATTATGAACTTTAGATTAAAAAATTATCATCAAGCACATTTCCCATAAAAATGAAATATTTGTTTCCGTTATAATCACATTATGTTTCTTTCACTTATACAGAATTTATTGTTATTTTTCGATTTAAATTATAAATTTTATTTTATTTAACTTTTTAATCATTTTTTGCTATTTTTTTAATTACTTAAATATGTGACCAACAATTTTGAATTAAATTTTGACTTATACTTTGATTTTGTTTGCCATCAAAGAATTCAACATTTTTGATAACTAATTTGCTGTATAAAAAATATTTAACTAATTGCTCCTATTACATGCTTAATTATATAGAATAAGTTTTTAATTAAATAAAGGAAAACTGAATGTTTTGTGTTGATACATCTGTAATGCTACTCTGTTAAGTAAAAGTAGTGTTTATAAAAGTTCATAATGTTATAATTAAATGAATTTGTAAATTTTTACTTTTTCTGAACTTACTGTTACAGTACAGTGGTACAGAAATTGTCTGCATTACAGTATTATTAATAATAATTTTTTTCAGGAAAAGCAACTAAACTTAAACAAGCCAAAGAAGAAGCCCAAAGAGAAATTGAAAGGATAAGAGAAGAAAGAGAGAGAGAATTTAAAAAGTATGAAGAAAAGGTTAGTTAATTATGTTTGAGTATCTAATATTTACTGTATAAATATAATAATAAAACTTTGTAGTGTTTGATGCCATGTTAATTTCAACTTATATTCTATTTCTTACCTTAAGAAACATGATTTATACATTTTAATTTATATATATATTATTTATTTAAAATTATGCAGTGTACGGGCAAAAGAACTATCAACGCCGGGCAAAAGAACTATCGTTACGGGCAAAAGAACTATCGTTACTTTTGCCCGGCGTTGCTCGGGCAAAAGTAACGATAATTAAGATAAAGATTATTACGTTACAGTCAACCTTACCCGTTTTCACAGAATGCAAAAATTGGGTCCCCTTGTTTCCAGACTAATTAGAGAATTTTTAGATGGGTCTAAAAATATGTTCGATTTCCCGCAAAAACGAAAAAAACTGCATCTGCGTCTTGCACGTCGCTTTCTCTTAACAATTCCATTGTTACGTAGCATTTCCATTGTTGACACTTCCATTGTTACTTAAAACTT